TTCTTACCAGACAAAAAGGGCTTAACCTTTGCTAAAAGACGAAGATGATAGAAACAAGACCTAACCACAGCACATATCTGCTTATCAAATGTAAGACTGTTATCAAGCGAAACCCCCAGATTCCGAACACAGGTGGTACTGTATGGTAACAGAGTATCGAGATCAACATCATGAATGCTGTGATCATTTGAACCAAACAAGATCATTTCAGTCTTACTCTCATTAAGACTTAAGAAATTACTAGCAAGCCAGAGTTTCAGTTCGTCTAAGCAGTCTAATATAGGCTTAAAGGCATGCTTATCGTCACGCTTTATAGTGCTGCAGTGCTTTCTCAACCTTTCCTCTCCTCTCATCATAAAAACGGAGCCCCGCACACATGACATGCAGGGAAAAAATAGCCGTTCACATCGCCTCTATTGCGCACTCAGGTTCGTTACTTCACATGTAGACACGCGGCAAGCGCACACACTGCACACTTCTGCGCCGCATTATGGCTCTGACGAGGTTTTGTTTCGTCGTCCATGCCATAGCTGCAGATTTATGTTTCTGCCGGTCGGTGCCCACTGCATAACACACACTTGTAATATCTGAGAGAGAGAGAGAGCATCCAGTTCTGTTGACATAAAACTAGACACGCCGGCGGCACTCTCTCACTCATATAGTTAGTGAGGGAAATCCACCTGCGATCCGAGCGGAGAGGTTAGGCTACTCACGGACTCAGTATGTGCTCTGCGATAATAACGTGATCTGTGCCTATGGTCCACGCTGATAGCTGTTCCGGGGCAGTTTTTTAGTTCTCATTTCCATAAACATATATATAGCAGTAGAGCTAATACAGTGGCTGGAAATCTGTTTATCCTTCGGTTCCTCGTGCTTCCCCATCTTCATAGAGAACGCGGTTCATGGTTGCTCAGAGCGCTTTGGAAAGAAGGTGGAAATTGCGCGGCCGCGATTTCCAAGCATTTTTAGATGCTGGAAGCAGGAAAATCTATATAGAGCGCCTTATTGTAATAATTAAAATATCAATATTTGGCGCCAGATATCGATTCTCATATCGTATGGAGAAGGACAACGATATATCGCCATATCGATATATTGTCCCACCCCTCCTTTATAGGCAGATAACTTTGTGTGTCGTCAGCATACAGATGAAATGATACACCATATCTAGATAAAATAGAATGCCAAAGGTAACATGTAGAGATTAAACAGTACCGGGCCAAGAATAGAGCCCTGAGGGTACAGATGAAATGATACACCATATCTAGATAAAATAGAATGCCAAAGGTAGCATGTAGAGATTAAACAGTACCGGGCCAAGAATAGAGCCCTGAGGGACACCAGAACTTAAATGTATATCAGAGGAAGAATGGTGCCCGAGTCAGACAGAGTAACTCCTATGGGTTAAATATGAGCGAAACCATTGTAGCACCGTACCCCGTAGGCCCACACATGCTTCTAGACGTGATAAGAGAATATTGTGATCGACCAGGTCAAATGCAGAGCTAAGGTCTAGCAAGAACAAAGCCACAGACTGCCCGGTATCAGTGATGGGCTGTAAAACCAGACTGAAATTTCTCGTGTATATTGTTATCATTCAAAAAAGGCAAACGTTGGCTCAGGACCACTTTTTCTAAAATTTTTGAGAGGAAAGGTAAATTTTAGATTGGGCGAAAATTACTCAAAAGCGTAGGATCCAAATTTGGTTTTTTAAGATGAGGCAGAACAGAGGCATGTTTAAGGCAATCGGGTACAGTCCCAGTAAAAAGACATTTGTTGATGACAGACAACAAATCAGGGCCAATAGCTTGAAAAACTTGCTTAAGAAAATGTGTGGGAATCACATCCTGAGGGCAGCTAGTAGGTTTTAAACCAGCAACAATCTCTTTAAGAGAGTCCAAGGTGATAGGCTCAAAGACAGACCATGTAGAAGAGCAGAAAGGAACATCAAGTGGTGTATAGGCTGACAAAGGCATTAGAGATTTAATCTGTGAGATCTTATCATTAAAATATCTCGCAAAATCCTCACAATGAGAATCAGATGTCTCAGGAAAATGATTAATAGTGGGATTGAGAGCAGAATCAATTATTGAAAATAGGGCTTTAGGCCTGGTACTGTTACATAAAACTAACTCTGAGAGATATTTACACTTAGCACCATTAGCAGCTCGCTGAATCAGATTGTGTGTGAGATCAGACTGTGTGTGTCTCATCCTGTGTGTGTGTGTGTGTGTGTGTGTTAGATCGGACTGTGTTTGATATCAGACTGTATGTTAGATCAGACTGTGTGTGTGGCTCGTTCTGTGTGTGTTAGATCAGACTGTGTTTGAGATCAGACTGTGTGAGATCAGACTGATATGTGTCTCCACAGACCCGCCGTACATTAAGGAGGTGCGGAGCTCCGAGACGCCGGTGGGACAGACTGGAGTCCTGCACTGCGAGGCGTCTGCGGTTCCTCAGCCTGAGTTTGAGTGGTACAGAGACGAGCGCAGGTCAGTCACTCAGAGAACACAGATTATCCCCAGAACGTTCCCAAAACATGTGTGATACTGTAGAATGCTAATAGAATGTAATACAAATAGAATGTTCTATTTAGTTTCCTGTCTGACTTTTAGCTAACATACACTCCAAAACAGCTCTTTTTAGACCCCAAAAATTACATTTTCCAGCTGTTATAATAAATGATCTGTTGGGTATTTTGGGCTGAAACTTCACAGACACATTCTGGAGACACCCAAGACCAATATTACATCTTGTAAAAAGGGGCATAATAGGTGCCATTTAATGCATGTTTTTTTTCCTTCTGGAGCATCAGTGGGCATTTGAACCTTCTGTAATAGTTGCATATATGCACATTTTGCAGATTCTGCAAGGTGTATGTAACTTTTGACTTCAACTGTGTATATATATATATATGTATATATATGTATGTGTGTATTTTTTTCCATCTAATATGTATAGTGTATTCCGTTATATTTTATTTCAATTAACAAAAAAACAATTTTAATAGTTATAGTTTTACAATAACAATGCTGCACAGGAGAAATGTATCCTGTCTGTCTATTACCAGTATACAGTATGTATATAAACAACATACATGAATGAATGAATGAACACAAGCACATGAATGCAATTTTACAGAAATCAGTAAATAATATAAATTAATAAATATAATAACAATTACATTGAAGACTAGATTTTTACAGTTGAACTGCATCGGATCATTTATGTTATTTAGTGTTCGTCCATCTGCCGTCAGACAGTAAAGCTGATTTACAGTAATAATGATCTGTCAGTGTTTGTGTGTGTGTTTGTCAGACTGTCCAGCTCTCAGAGCATCAGTATTCAGATCAGCGGCTCTCGCACGCTGCTGGTGGTCGCTAACGTCACAGAGGACGACTACGGAAACTACACGTGTGTTGCCACCAACAGACTGGGAATCCACAACGCCAGCGTGTTCCTCTACAGTGAGAATCACACACACACACACACACACACACACACACACACACTCACATGCTCTCACACAATCTCATTAAAAAAGTCCAAGGTGATAGGCTCAAAGACAGACCATGTAGAACAGCAGAGAGGAACATCAAGTGGTGTATAGGCTGACAAAGGCATTAGAGATTTAATCTGTGAGATCTTATCATTAAAATATCTAGCACAATCCTCACAAAGATAATCAGATGTCTCAGGAAAATGATTAATAGTGGGATTGAGAGCAGAATCAATTATTGAAAATAGGGCTTTAGGCCTGGTACTGTTACATAAAACTAACTCTGAGAGATATTTACACTTAGCACCATTAGCAGCTCGCTGAATCAGATTGTGTGTGAGATCAGACTGTGTGTGTCTCATCCTGTGTGTGTGTGTGTGTGTGTGTGTGTGTTAGATCGGACTGTGTTTGATATCAGACTGTATGTTAGATCAGACTGTGTGTGTGGCTCGTTCTGTGTGTGTTAGATCAGACTGTGTTTGAGATCAGACTGTGTGAGATCAGACTGATATGTGTCTCCACAGACCCGCCGTACATTAAGGAGGTGCGGAGCTCCGAGACGCCGGTGGGACAGACTGGAGTCCTGCACTGCGAGGCGTCTGCGGTTCCTCAGCCTGAGTTTGAGTGGTACAGAGACGAGCGCAGGTCAGTCACTCAGAGAACACAGATTATCCCCAGAACGTTCCCAAAACATGTGTGATACTGTAGAATGCTAATAGAATGTAATACAAATAGAATGTTCTATTTAGTTTCCTGTCTGACTTTTAGCTAACATACACTCCAAAACAGCTCTTTTTAGACCCCAAAAATTACATTTTCCAGCTGTTATAATAAATGATCTGTTGGGTATTTTGGGCTGAAACTTCACAGACACATTCTGGAGACACCCAAGACCAATATTACATCTTGTAAAAAGGGGCATAATAGGTGCCATTTAATGCATGTTTTTTTTCCTTCTGGAGCATCAGTGGGCATTTGAACCTTCTGTAATAGTTGCATATATGCACATTTTGCAGATTCTGCAAGGTGTATGTAACTTTTGACTTCAACTGTGTATATATATATATATGTATATATATGTATGTGTGTATTTTTTTCCATCTAATATGTATAGTGTATTCCGTTATATTTTATTTCAATTAACAAAAAAACAATTTTAATAGTTATAGTTTTACAATAACAATGCTGCACAGGAGAAATGTATCCTGTCTGTCTATTACCAGTATACAGTATGTATATAAACAACATACATGAATGAATGAATGAACACAAGCACATGAATGCAATTTTACAGAAATCAGTAAATAATATAAATTAATAAATATAATAACAATTACATTGAAGACTAGATTTTTACAGTTGAACTGCATCGGATCATTTATGTTATTTAGTGTTCGTCCATCTGCCGTCAGACAGTAAAGCTGATTTACAGTAATAATGATCTGTCAGTGTTTGTGTGTGTGTTTGTCAGACTGTCCAGCTCTCAGAGCATCAGTATTCAGATCAGCGGCTCTCGCACGCTGCTGGTGGTCGCTAACGTCACAGAGGACGACTACGGAAACTACACGTGTGTTGCCACCAACAGACTGGGAATCCACAACGCCAGCGTGTTCCTCTACAGTGAGAATCACACACACACACACACACACACACACACACACACACTCACATGC